AGAGCATTCAACTGCAAATGACGACAACCATCAATCTTCTTTTAAAAAGTTTGGTTGAGATGTGAGTCCTCAAGACACATTATGTGAAGCATTGGTAATTATCCAATAACAACGGTATAAACTAAGCAGATTCATACAGCTATATCAAGTGGCTTCAATAATTGGTCGCAGTGGAGTGCAAGATCTATCAATCTGAGAGAGAGGGAGCGGCTCAGCTGGGCGCGTAGATGGTCGATGAATAATACAACTTGACATCATCATCTACTCCCCACAATGCGGCGGCAATTCGTTAAAGAAGTTAACGCGTATTATCTTTGTGAGCGCAACAAGATCGACGGAGACATCCCCAGTGCTTCGCGGCGCTGGTGGGCCCCTGCGGCCGCTAGGAGGTCCCCCAACATATGCGATGAAGATGCTCCTCAAAGCTCTTGGCCTCGTGTATTTAGTATGCTGAAATTCATGTGGCTGAGAGTTGCATCATCAGGATGATCTTCTAGAACAGATCAAAAAATAGCTCGTTGACATCACTCTCGAATTGATTATCTTTGAGCTGCTATGGACACCTTAGAGGGTCAACACTAGCATCCTCAATGGCTATTCCAGGACGGGAGAGAATGAGACAATAAACCTCAAACTCGGCTGGGATAAGCCTTCCATACATATCTCATTAACCAACTTCGTCATAACGGGGCTCAAATTGAATCTGGACAAATCACACACCCCCTTTATATTTTCTCTCTCTCTCTCTTTTTTGAAGAACCTAATCGCCTTGCAGAGAATACCTCGGTTCTACGCGGTATATCTCCAATGGCGGCGACACACCCTCGATGACGAGGGAGAAATATGGGAAGAGCGATATCCAGAATGGTCACCGTCCAGGAAATTCTTTGAAGGAACATGTGGAGGACTTCCTTTCGGCCCATGAAGAAAGAAATGCATGCGAAGCCAAATCGAGAATGAAATTTTCCTTGTCACCGGAGCCAATAGGCCAATTAGTCGATGGGTAAAATCCTCAAAAAAACGGATGAATCCTTTTCGAGTTTGTATTTTGAAAATGCTCTGCAGTCACTGACCAAGCATTATTGGAGGCTAAATGGGCCTCTGGACTAATCACATAATATATTGCTTCCGTAGCACTATGACCACTAGGTTATCCATAGCAAAAGGCCAACATAACCATTTGTTAAATGGTTGCGATCATAGTCATATATCTACCCGTGGGTGTGGTGGTATGGCGCGGACCACAGCGGGCCCCAACACCACCTATACACTGCGACCGCTAGTCGCAGCATAGTGTGGGAACCACATCGTGAAGTGTTTGGAATCATCATCCGTGACTCTTGAAATCGGGCGCCATTCGATGAAACTCAAACGGAACCGCACTAAATAACCGATAACTTCTACCCGCTCGCGAAACCAACAGTTTGCACATTGCAAATAATTACAGAAAACTCTGACGGCGGTTCACTTGCGCGAAATTCGAATCGGGTGATTCCTTGTTAACATTCATGAAGATTTCATCGGGTCCTTTTTAAAAGTCCTTGGGACACACCCACGAGTTCAATCTCCTCTATTTACAGAAGTCCAAGGTCCGTTTTCTTTCTCTCGTGGAACCTTTAAAAAAAAAAAAAAACAGCCACCAAACTGATAAACGATAGGGTTATTGAGCTCCGTTTCTCATATGACGCTCGATTATCAGTGCGGTCTGTGGATCGTGCTCCAACTTGGCTTACCCTTCTTGCAATGGCAATGAAGGACAACCCAACTCCAAGGTTTATGTCCGGTCTTATGGCCAAGCTAAACAGCCGGAAGAAGAAGTCAACGAATATGTTCTTGTCCTGCGTTCATTGAGCGCGGCTATTATCAGAAGATGCGAAGGCAACTGAAGGTAAGTGATTAAAAAGAATTAAAAACCAGTCAATCAAGTTCATGACACTAATTCGCTCATCACTTAGTTTATTCAATTCTGCTAGAGTCGGGGGACTAGAGAACAGCAGTTCCTTCCTTCCGTGTAGTGGGTCCTTTCTTCTTGGCGAATCCTTCGAGCTGTATATCCTTACAACCTCTTTCCTTATGAGGCCCTGTTCTCCTTCCTTCTGAGGTCTTGCTTATTGTTTTGTTTGTTTTTTTTTTTTCCCTTTTCTGTCTCTTTAAGAAGAAGGATTCCCTTATTTTTCTTTTTCTTTTGTTTTGAGGAAGAAGATAGCGGTAACTAGTATCAAAAAGCTAGCCATAAGATTGTTCAATTTTGCCCTTAATCCTTAACTATTCCATCCTAAGCTAATCCTTAAGACTTGCGAAGCCTGGAGGGCTTACGTAAAGATCCCTTACAGAGCCGTGAGGCTCGTTCTGTTTCTGGGAAGATCAGTCACGTTACACGTCGGCTAGAAAGCTAGATTCCTTCCTTAACCAATCCTTCTTCAAGAACTTTATTCCCCCCAGAGGTCCTTTGACCGTCTCGCAGTCTTCCGTACTAAGACCTTGACACCAGAGGCTACTGATGACTTCTGGACGGAAATATATGACCACTTAGATTCCAATAACGACCGTAAGGGATCCGGCAAGACTTCTTTCGAAGACGAAGTTGGTCTGACAATACTACCCGGGGACACTTTTACATTCCTTGAGTTGCTAGACCACTGGAACAGGGAAGGATGGGGCTTTGATGAGAGCAGTTTAAGATCCGCAATCCTTGAATGGGCCGTCTATGTAGACATCGAATGAGATCCATCCGGCGTTGGATCCTATTGTGGTGGGACGAGAGAGTGAGCGGTATAGGCGTTCCTTCTTTTCTTTGCTAATCCTTCTGTTTACTTACTCTTGTTACCTCTTTCCCCCTAAGGTTATGTTTGTTTTTTTTTTTTTTTTTTCTTTTTAAAAAGGGAGGATTCCCTTGTTTTCCTTCAGGGCTTCTTTTGCTTTTTTTTTTTTTTTTTTTTGTTTTTTATTGTGAAAAAGAAGAAGAACAATCAACCAAGAATTGTAACTAGCTCTAGTATAGCAATCAGATTGTCCAATCCTTGTTCTTAATCCTTAAGAATCATTCTACACTAAGCAATCCTTAGGGACTGCGGAGCTTTGAGGGCTTAGTGCCCAACAGTCAAAGGGTCAGTTGAGCTCTGCAGAGACTTATTAAACTAAACCTCTTACAATCTCTTACAAAACCACTGTTTTCCCCCCCTCTGTGCCCACTGCTCTTTTTCTCAACAATCAGTGACTAGTATAATATCAATAATCCAACTACACAAAATAATCAGAATTGTTGTCCTACTTAATATACTAGAAAAGTATGTGAGTATTTGACTAGTCACTAACTGATTCTTTACTGATGTAGTCTTGGGGAAGGTTGGGCGTCTGGGAGGTAGCCTTCAAGAAGTGCCGGAGACACCATAATATAAAAGAATTATACTAGGGCTTCTTTCGCAGCCTTGAATTGGAAATTGATCTCTCCAGCCTTCAGGCTCCTTTATATGTTGGGGTCTCCAACATATATGTGTTCTTCTGTATGTTTTTCCTGCACGCTTCTCCTCCCTTGTTGGGAGGTCACAAGCTCTGGTATCCGAGAGAATGAGATTTCTCCCTTTAGCAATTCCTTTCTTCTCTATTAATCCTTCTGTTCATGTATCCTTGCTGCTTCCTTCATTTTTGGGGCCTTGTTTATTTTTTATCTTTTTTAAAGAAAGATTCCTTTGTTTTTCCTTTGTTGTTTTGTTTTTTACTCTTAGAATGATCAAGGAATCAAGGAATAACTAGTATTCAGAGAGACAATAATATGATCCTTCAATTCTTGTTCTTAACTGAATCCTTTACACTTTTCATTCTCCACATGTATTCTGTATTTCCTGCGCAGATCCTGCATCAACTGGATTGTTTTCACTCTCTGGATTCTCCGGAACT